GGGGGGGTTGGAAAGGGGAAGTCAAGATATAGAGGTCAGGTTCGAACCACGGACTTTCCGGTTAGTAAATTCATGCTCTAACCACTGAGCCATTTCGCCTCTGATTTGGTCGAAATAGTCGGTTTGTGTTCTGTAAATACATGTTTTCCGCAGACGAAATCGAGGAATGGTCAGAGTGAACTGCGGAATCTGAACTAGGTAACACAGCGTGTCGTTACCTCTCCGATTACGGATAGGATACTTTGTGCTATTCAATACTGGTTTGCTGTCCGTAAGCGAGGAGACGATCACATTGACGGTGCCACACGAACAGTGTCGGTCAGTTTTTATAGATATTCTGCTGGGTGGTTAAGGCACCCAAATCACTTTCAGCCAGCTGAAGTGTGTCGTGGTAGGGTTCAGCTCAAATACTCAACCAGTCGTGGTCCTGGTATCTGAACATCTGACAGTATGACGTCAGGGTGGCGGGACTTTCCGCCCGCAGGTGATAGGAATGAGTAGTTCTCATAATATCAAAATACTTGTTTTTTTCCAGCTGCCTGGGTTAATTTCGAATGGTCATTTCCAACTAGGTTCTCAGGATACGCGGCATTTGTCCAGGGAGCTTCAACGTGGTTTTGACGAATGTTTCGCCCGATACGTGGCGATGGATTCGGTGGCGTTACAACGCAAGTGGGATTATTTGAAGAGTACCTGTCTCGTTTTCCGACGTATGGCTGTACCGCAAGTGATGGATGTTGATTTATCGTTGGACGACGGGGCTTGTTTAGAGGATCCACCATTCGTCGACGCATGTTCGGAACCACCAGCAGCATCTGACAATGGCTCGGAAAATTCTGATAACTCTTTAGGCGTTAAAGCCCGTCCCAATCAACTCACGTTCCTCACAGCTGATCCTCCGAGTCGCCTCAAATCAGGAGCTCGTTCGCCATCCTGCTCCCCCTCGGGCAAAAATTCTCCCCTGCCCGACTGGACGCCGAAACCCGATGAGATTCCGGATCCCTGGACCCGTGGGCTTGATCCACATCCAGATAGTGCTCGGGTACTGGTTGATACTGCAAACTTGCTCAATCCCGAAGGCTGGCATGCCGTTTTACCTGCCGAGTGGGTCGATGTCGTCGCAGGAGATGTGGATGTCATGACAAGGAATGCACAATCAGCCAACGGAGATGCCAGAGCTCCCCAGAGTTTCAGTGATGCCTATATCGCTGGAATGCCCGCCAAAAGGCGCAAGGTAAGTGTTGCCGAAATCCGCGTCCAGATCACTTGTCTTCCGGACGTTTTACTCCCTACTTGTTCACCTGAACACCAACCGCCATGCGCACACTAAACATTCCTACATTCGTTCATTCATATCAACGTTGAAAACGGATCAAAATGCACCATTCACTCTATCTGAGGGTATAGTAGCTACACCTGGTTTGTAGGTGAAATAATGTATCAACTAGCGAAGGCGATGGACGGGTAATGCCCGACATACGTGCTAAAGATTCAGTAGTGTTGTGTGGACTATGAAGATCCATCCTGGCAGCTCAAACTGATCTGTTGGGTTGGTTCTATCTATGAGTCTAATGAGCTTCATCCTTTTGTTGGCCTTTGTATGATTTCAAAAGCACTTAGGTCTTTGGCTGCACATATTACATATTCTCGGACTTGTCTCCTATCTTGCTGCTCCCAGTGCACTCTACTTACTGACATTCTGATGGTCGTAGACACGGCTAAAAAACTGTACGCGGGGGTCCGTTGACTCATTTAACGGGCAAACATATGATTGCAGTCTATCATTTCTCGGAAAGCATAAGTAATGTGCTGAATTCTGTTGAAACCATTTCTTCCTTTTGCATTTCTCGGTGTTTTAAAAGCAGGATGTTGATGGGCAAACTAAATGAATCGTGACACATCGAGGTTACGCATAGAGAGAGAGAGACTGTTGGTTAGGTCCACAAAACGCCCACCCACGCAAGCCTTTTTCCCCCAGGGTGACGTGAGGGACCAGTCACGAACGTTTTTGAATAGTACCGGACTACTATTCGGAACGAACACTTTCTGATAGGTTTGCACACCTTAAGAATTTAGACTGTGAATCACAGTGGAAATCTACTTCATTGGCTCTGAAAATCGGCTGGTGGATGCGTAGTGTGGAAGACTGCTAAGCAATATGTCACTTGGGCAATCATTCCACTTCCACTAGTGGGGTCCCAGTGAGTAGGAGGGGCATCGTATTACTCAGCCAAATTGGCGGTTGTCCTTCACGAAAACTGGTCAACAGTTGGCTAAACAAAGTTTGACCCCCAGTTCACTGAAAAGAGCTTTCTCTCAATGCTACCAAAACTAATTAGTGCTTTTGATTTCCCTGTACTGAATCAGTTATAGCCTGTTCGTTTGGGGAAAATTAGCCAATTAACCGAGCGTTGAGTTGTTGCGTCACAGCGGTTTCGTTGTAATATTAGGTAGCATCCGTGCGTAACCGTCATAGATAGCATTAGGTTGATATATTGTGTACCTGGACAAGACTGATGCGGGCGTCCAAAACACCCGTCAAAGCGTTTTCCTACAAATCAGTCATACCAAGGGAAATATGAGCCATTGGATACGGCGACCTCGCATCAGCCTACACAGGAGCTTGAGCCCTAACCGAGCGTTGGGTTGATGCCCTGATGCCTCAGAGAAGTTTCCTCGCACCGTTAGGTAACATTCTTGCAGTGCGTAGCCGTCATAGGTAGCATTAGGTTGATGTGCTGTGTATCTGGACGGGACTGATGCAATCTTTCCGGTCGAGGTCCACGAAATGCTGTTTTTTGGCAGGACTTGTTTGTTGTATGCTTGTGTGCTGGGCTTCTACTGGATGAGGTCCACAAAGGACGTTAGGTTAGCTCCACTCATCATCATCATCATTGTCAGCTGTAATAACCGCGTACTTGTCGTACAGTGGTTGTAGCTACCACAGTTTCGCTCACCGACGAGTTGGGGAGGTGGGGTAGGTAACCGCGCATTGGAGGTGGGAGCTGATGGCGTCTCACTCCTAAATGGTGCTCAGATGCGTTTGTCTCGTCACTGTTCCAAGGTCTAGGCATTTCGTTTTTTGTCGCTTCCCCTAAGGACAAAGCCTTCATCATTCCCCTTTCAGCTCCATAAGAGAACATTTACGGTTGCATGACAGTTTAGGCCCAGCTCACACCACTGATGTATTACTGTCGATGTTGCTAGTGATATTGATGGAGCTGGCCCATAATTAGCAAGCCATGGACCTGTTGATTGTGTTGATCACGTCTGTTTATGGTCGATTTCATTGTCTCCTGCAGGTAATGCAAGAACACGCACGATCTGTCGCCAAACCACCAAGTGCTTTCTTTACGGATTGCCTTTCGGATGCGATACGCGTGAGCGGATGTGAACCCAATTCTACTGATAACGTCTCAGACTCGGCCACCCCAATGGTGCAAACTGGCACCGGTGCTAGCTGTTCCCCTGAGCGGGAATTGGATCTGGCTGCATCTCTGAAAGATCTTGTGTCTGAAGAAATTGCCAAGCGCCTCAGCAGCGACCCTGACTTCGATCCAGCTCAGTTCCCTTTGTCCAACGAAGTGTTTGTGAAGAATAAGTCTCACCGGGAGAAATAAATTAGACCAGTTCGGCGCTACACATGTCACTTCATAAACTTCTCATAGCCTATCGGGCTCCGTCTCAGAATGCCTATATCTGCTGCCAGAGAACCCTGTCTGCCCACTCTTACCATCAAGACCGACCACCCGGTTTAAAGCAGCCTAAGCTGTGACTGGTTTCTGAGCGCGACGACCATGTCTCTATTTCGACTTTTACTTTTGCTGTAAAAACGTGGATTCTAATTACTTGGTTGTTGTTTTGCGTTTGCTTCCTTCTATTCAGGGGATATACCTCAGGCTTTGTGATTTTGGAGAATTTGAGGCACATACTCCTGGTATCATCCGAGCACCCCAATGCGCTTTTTTCGAATGACCTCACTTTATTTTGCTCATATCATGTGCCATATTTGGCCATTAATATTACTGCAGTCCTACTCAGGACAGGGACCACCTTTAGAGAGTGTATGATGGGGACCTCTGTCAACCACCATCAAGCATGTGATTCCTGAACAGTCACACCTTAGGAGAGAGTGCTGCCGGGGAAAAGAGTGTTCGGCTTTGTGGGCTTTGGTCTTTCTTCGGAAGCGAGCGGCTTGCACATAGTTTCATAGCCGACGGGAAACGGAGCCGGCCCTTCGGTAAACGCTTTCTTTTCGGATAGGTATCCACCCAAACCTTCCCTCGTGATGGTTGCTAATCGAGGGGATCACGAGAAATTCCCATCTGTCGATATCGTGAACAACCGTATTCTAGGTGCTATAAAGCGCGAATGGTCGTTCTAGGAGCAAAACGAGAAGCAGGAACAAGAAATCGATGGTTGTACTTCATTAAAATTGTTCTGTACGCGGTCGTTTTCTGCTTTTAGTTTGGAAAATGTGTGACAAACCTTACCAGAAAGAGCTGTCTGATATCACTTACAGAAAGCACATCTGGTGGCGCGATCCGCCCTGACACCAAAAGACACGACTGTTCCTCATTGTTACGTTTTCAATGTTAATGTGGAGGTAGGAGACTCAAAATTTGTCGAAATATTGGTAACTCGCGCGTGTTTACTGGCTGTGGACCTGTAAACCGATCGCTAACGTCTGTTAACTAAGTGGGACTTCTTTCTTCCATATTTGTCCTCGTATAGTTCTCAAGGAGTGGCGACCGTTTGAAATACGGTTCTCTCAATTTCATTTGGTTTGTGTCGCGTCACGCTCTGTATTTTTTGTGTTCGGTTCGTTTGTTGAATCCATGGTTTCGATAGATGGTCTGAATTGTTCGTCCACGGCGTATTCTCCTTTCATTTGGTTCTCTCTGTTCGATCTCGGTTTACGTTGCATTGTGGTTGGTAGCGTCGTTTTTTGTCGTGGTTGATTCCCCTGCTTCTGATTGATACTTTTCTCTATTCATTTCGTTCTTCTGATCGATGGGTTTCATCCACGTCCCACTCCAATTGATTTGTTCGTCATATTTGGGCTCCCCCTTCTATACCCCTCTTAGTAGTTTTCTTGCTCCGTTGTGAGCTTTGTGATTCTGGAGTTCGATTGCTACTTGTGAGTTTAGGACCATTTCAACGTGTTTGTATCTACACTACGTTTCCATAGATTCATTTTTCTTTGCTTGTTCAAGACTAGTGTATGAATATCGTTCAATTCGAAAAAGCCTAATTGCCCTAATCCCCTCAGCCCATTCTGTACCGTGATGTACCGTTATCGACCATGTAGCGGATCTAGCTTGCCTGGGCTTTCTGGCGTGAAACCCATCGGGTCAAGTGGACTTGTTTGGCCGATGTGCTTTTACTCGTTACTGACAGTATCACTTTGTCCGACCTACAAACTTTCGATTCAGTTCACACTAGGTTTATTCTTGAACCTGAGTGAAACAACTGACCAAATGTTCTCGATTTCGGCATTCCAAATAAGGCCGATAGAATCCTGCGACGCGAAGTCCACAGGGAAGAAACTTGAACATCCCGGCATATTCGTTGTGAGAGGCTTTTCCGTTCTAACAAAGCCGGAAGTCAATGGTTTTTCTCAATGAGGGATGAAGTTAATTGCCTTCGACTGTTTACAAAAGAATCTGAAATATTTGGGACGGGTGTCAGGAAGGGTTCATCCCTAAATCTTTGCAGTTTGCGAAACAGCGAATTGTCTTCACCGGAGACCCGAGTATCCCGTATATGTTTTCAGAGTTTTCAGTAACCTTTTGAGTAGTGTCCGTTCACAAAAAGCGTGTCCACAAGAATTTTCCATCCAAAGGAGGCACGGTTGTTGATCTAGTTACTAGAAAAAACGCAAAATTCTATTCATGTGCAATCCATATCCTCTTATCCGTACCTGAGTTTCAGTTCTAGCCTTCCATTTGAATGGCAAACTACCTGGCTATACCACCAGCCCTTGTGTGTACTTATTTGTATGCTTATACCAGGCATCGCACAACAAAGTGTTTGTCTGGGAACATACGCGCACACATTCCGGTGCCCCTGAATGGTGCTTTGTGGGAACCCATTTCAAGTGCGATTTCATCGTATCTGACTGAAACTGACCATATCGCGCGCAAAGGACTGGTTCCACTCAGATTACTATCGATTGTGGACATCTTTGGAATTCGGCCACGTGGCCCACAATTCTGCGCTCAACAGAAGCTTGTGCGACCTGTGACCTTTCCACACACTTTCTTGAGAATCCCTGTGAACGATTGACCCTTGTTCTAGCTTTTCTTCTTTTCTGCACTCGTGTATCCGTAAATTCGTACACATGGTTTCTGTCGTTATGAGCTGCACTCAGCGTACAATTTTACCTCTGTTCGCATGGGGAAAGGTGTTTTGGGGATCCAATTTTCTCAACTGGAATATGAGTACCTATCAAAGTCCTTAACTGGAATGTACTCTTACCGTTTGGTGATATGGTACGTATTCTCTGCTTCCTTCGGGCCGCGTGGCGAGTGAACAGTATGACTTGCTGTGTTAATCTCTGGCCAGCATGTCCAGTGCACCGCTAGCACAAAGGTGGTTTGGAATCGTGACGTTTTAGGTGGAGAAATCGGGGGGCACCGAGACAGGGGCTTGCCTTCGACGGCAGATTTGGCGAACCGTGCAACGAAACTTTCACGATGACGAACCTTTCACGATGACCGCGGAAAATTTAGCATAATGCAGTCTCATAGGGGCGCTATGTGCCCACACTGGAAAATTTGTTTGTCAACGGTGTTTCTTATTGAGAAAACCTCTTGGGCTAATCACTTTTGTCTCAATGGCTTGTCCTTGATTGATTAGACTATCTCTTGGCACCTCCGCCTCCTCGGTTTGCACCGTGTGTTGGCGTTTCACTGCCATCTTTACAGGAGGCCGTTTTCAGTCGCTCCTCTCAGCTATTAAACCCATATTCCGTGCATGTGGCATAGATACGAAGCAACATTTCGTGTTATCTCGCAGCGTGGCCACCGACGGAAGGGAGCGAGTTTCCACTAGTGTGCAAACGAAGGCTAGTAACATGCTGACACGGTGACTCGAAGCTATTTCTCTGGTCTGTGGCGTGCCGAACCTGCAGACGGGAGGGTTTTGTGGGATAGTCGTGCCAGACTGAGTACCCATGTGAATTACAATCCTGCGAGAACCGTGTCCTATAGCTGGTCGGTGCAACCTCAGTTTTAAATCGGTTTCTCATAGTTCTACCTAGCTACAGATCGCAGTTCGCTTCTTAAAGCGATTAGGTTTCGAGCACACGCGTCACTGCCTCAGTGCCGTCTCACGCTGTCTTTAACTGAGAAAGTCCACGATGTTCTGCACTGCCAAAGTGTGCATTCCCTCAAAAGACTGACTTGGCAGATGATTCATCCGTGCAGCGTTTTCAGGCGAACATCCAGCTGGCTGTTTTCAGGCTTGGAATCGAAATATATATTGGGCTTGTCTTGATATGTCCAAGTGACGGCACTTCACAGCGAACAGGTCAAGCAAAACTCAGCCGGGAGTTTTTCTCAAATGTTCGAATTCGGAGCATACCTTTGATTGACTGAGTTATATGCAGAGTATGTGGTGAATAGTCTAGTCATGCGAATATCGTCCACAGTGAGCTAAGTTTGTAGAGATGCATGAAATTACGGAAAATTGACGGAACTTACCTCTCGATGTAGCCCTCCTTTTCATAGGCTTGTTTCCGTTCATGTCTCTGTATGTGTTCAGCTTTTACACTCACAAAGTTCTGGGTTACTACTTTTAGACACTCCGGTCTTCAATCCAAGGAGGGACACTTATGGTTTCGCAGCGATTCACCCATATAGGAAATATCATAAGTCTCGAATGCTGTGGTAGATGAGACCAACACACAAATCTTCAAGACTCGGGTCGCGTTTGCTGATTTGAGATAACTGTGGCGACTAAGCGAAGTACCTCCGACTCTCAAGCGACGTGTGCATCAGGCTGTTGCACAGGTCGGTTCGTTTTT